GGCCTTCATGGGTTGAGAAGTCTGGAAACTGCCACAGCTGCCCGCGATTCAGTCCTCTGAGGTCCGCTCCAGGTTTGCTGCAGCTTGCGTGCCCACACCAAACTGCGCTCCACTCTCCACCCAGAGCGATATACCTTTCTGATCAACCATCCAGGCTGTCTTTGGCTGGACATTTGTTTCACTCTTTATTTTTGTGGGTTCTGCTGCTTTAGAATTTGTTCAGAGACATTTTTTGTAGGTATTTGGAGGGGTTTGAGGGAGAGCTCAAGCAAGTCACTGCTTTCACTTGAGTGTTTCTTAATAGGAACTTCTGTAACTTCCTCCATGACTTTACCATATGTCTGTCCATTGTGGAAAATGTGGTTGTGGATGTTGCTTCTGCACATCACTCAATCAAGGGGTTAATTCCTATGTGACAGCAATGGAGTCAGTTTAAACTGGGAGGGAATGTGACAGGTAGCTAGTTTTCATTTCCAAAAAGATGCAGTCTAGGGGCTAGGTGGAAGTTGAACAAAGGATGCCATAAAGTGGAGTTGGTGAGTGAATGAACTAACCTGTGGAAAACTGGTTCTGAGATTAGGTAGAGATTAACACATCCATATCCCAAGCAGAAGGGGTGTGAGAATACTCAGATAAGAGCCGGGGTCACCAAATTTTGGTGAATGGGAGATGTAATTAGGGTCAGAGACTCCAGTGGGGAAATTAGGCACTTCTGATAGGCTGTAATCTCTATAGTATCCAGCCAATGGGGAAACAGAGGAAGGACATTTGAATAGGGAATAGGAAACAAATACGTGTGTATCTATCCACGCAAGTGCTCTCACAAGCATGCTCTCACACATGTGGGATGCCTGGCCTTCCCATTTCATTAATAAAGCTTTTTTCCTGGTTCAACAATGACTTCGTGGAATTTGTGTTAAAGATGACAGATAGGGGCTCCTCTGGGATTTGGAAAAACAACAACAACAACAACAACAACAACAACAACAACAACAAAATACCTCCTGAGTTGAGGAATGAGAGAAGTCCATTGACTTCAATGATCCTGTGCATCCTGGGGGGGTCTCCTAGCTCATTGAGGGTTCAAGATCTTAGGACCAAGTTAATAAGAGAAGCCATGGCTGAACCAGGAACAAAAAAAGGGGGAAAGTGGAAACCATGGCCACTGTATAAGCTTGTATACAATACAATTTAAGAAAAATTGGACTATTAGTATTCCCTTGTCAGTTGGGGAACATTCTACAGGTGTAGAGTTGAATAAATATCAAGGTAGTCTGGGACTATGGGAGCATAGAGAAGATTCATACGGGAGGTTTGTCAAAAGGGAGATAAGCACCAAGTTAGATATTTACAAGAAATCCTAGGGAAGAACATAGGAGGGGGAATAAGGGGCCAGGGAAACAATAATGAGACTGCTGAGAACACTCCTCCAGACAGTCTCTAGGGAGGATGTGGAACATAAGGATAAGAAAAAGGACCAGCACAGGTGTACGATAGGGTTATTTTGATTGGTCAAAGTTACTTTAAAAAGCCAACAAGAAAATTAGATTTGTGTGTCCTTTGTCTTTTCAAGCTGTCTCTGTCTGTGTGTGTTTGTTAATGTTTCATGTTTGTGGTGAAAATTCTAAAATGCAGTCAGAAAAACTTCTAAGGAACTACTAACATCTGTAATTAGAGAGAGAACATTGGGGATAAACTCCCACTTTAGGCTTTCAGTGGGAGATCAAGATTTTTTTTCTGTAGCCCAACACTGGCCAAGTTGGGATTCCAGAAAGAAAGAAGAAAAGTTGGATAAAAGACTAATGAGAAAGCAGGAAGGTTTTCTCTGGAGGAAAAATCAGAGTGTTAAGCAGCCTGTATTGCTAAAGGTCTAGAGCATTCAGCTCAAGATAGCAAGGACTGAGGGAGAGGGAAAAAAAGCTAGAAGGTTTTTCTGTCTTTTGATCATTAACATTATAAAAGCTGTTTGTGAAGAGAGTGGGGGAAATACAGCTCTCTTGATTTGTAAATTGTTGGGCTTTAACACACTCCAGATTCTAACAAGGTG